ATCGGTTCGGATTGCTTGACTTCTCGGTAAGCTCGTGGTGCATGTCACGATTCACGATCCTTGATAGAGCGGAGACGCAGCGCCGATTCGCTTTTCGCAATGGTGGGCATCGGCTCCAACGGAACTTGAAACCGCTTCGGACACCGCGAGTCGATCGATCCGTCAGGGAAGACACTGGTGAGCGTTCCGACTCGCTCTAGGCGCGCGTGGATGCATCGATGCAATCGTTCACGATGCAACCGATTCTCCACGGCAATCATGAGCTTTATTTGGCACCTCACGGCGACACAATGCTTATTGTAGAATGGAAAGCGCTTCGAAGCCTCATCGGGGAAGTCTGACCTTCTGGTCGGACAGATCATCTTCTTCTCTTCCCGGTTCACATGACAGGAGCACATGCTGATGATAGGCATGGGAGCCTACGGACGAGAAAAAAAATGCTGTCAATGCGTCCCAGAGGGGATCGCATTGCTGCTCAGAGTGGCTCCGGCGCCGATGTTTGAAGAAGCTTGCTATGAAAACTCATAAAACATGGCACACGCAGAGGCGAAATATGCACACCACACGGGTCGGAAGAAAAAGGAACTACTTCCTACAAAGATCAAATTTTCACTTCAGGAAACATTCTGAGAATGTTTTTGGGGTCTTGAAGCTTTTCCCCTGGAAAAATCGGCGCCAATGTAGACTGTCTCCGCCTGACGATTCAATAGGGTGTGACGAACGGTGGCTTCTCACGAACGGCGACTCGGACCTCCGTTAAGCCCCGCTCGGAAACGCGCCGGAACGAGTTGCGAATTTTAAGCATGGTCCGCGACCCCGCTGCGCCGTCATCGTCGCGTGAAGCTCCGAGGCTTCGGGACGGATCGGACACTCCGGAATCAGTTGCGAATGAAGGATTCAGAAAATTCTTCTCTGTTCTCTAACGAGAGTCAACTCGAGAGACGAGAAAAGTGTCAGCTCGGTGGATGACGTCCTCGAGAGAAAACTGACATCCTACACCGCAAGATTTTCCATGATGCAGCTGTCGGACCAGCGATGCCAATCGCTGCTAGAAGCGGAAAAATGGAGAAACGAGAGGAAGCGATACGGTACGCTTTCGCTGCCCGGATGGGAGGTCTTCTGGAAGCGGAGCAATTATCTGCAGTCATCAAGGTCGAGAACGATCATCCCGAAATTTCGATTGGAGACCCCTCATCGGTGAATCTACAAGTCGAAAACACTCGAAGAACCAATGAGTCGGTTGCGTCTTCGTGGATTCCGGTCCGCATTCTGAGCTTCTACGGATAGATTCGCGAACTTAATTTTCTATAACCACGTTTCTCCGATTAGGGACCCGCCACAGCTAAGCCGAGGTGACGCCCTTTCTACACACAGCTTCATATTCATGCATGGCCACGCAGAGAGTGCTTCTAAGTGAGTGATCTTAGCGGGAACTTGACAAGGTCGCGATTCCAGCTATCACTGTTCACGCCAAGAGTTCGAGCCACCACCGAGCCAGTGCTGGCTCGAAGTGACATCGGTCGACATTGCACGTAGATGTTCGGCTGCATCGCATCCTCTTAAATCAGCACAGTCAGACGTCGGAGAACAGTGAGTTCTTCTCTGTCCGGGGCGCTTCCTATCGTCACGTTGCGTGAGGGACCGCAGCTCCCGTGGAAATGATCCCGATCGTGTGGCCGCTCTGGATCGTTCTCAATCAGATCATAGCAACGAATATATTAACTTTGACCGCCGTGTTTTCGCTTCCGTATAATTCTCCCCGCCCCGGGAGAATCCTCTTGCGTTTTTGTTCAGGACGCCCCTGCGCCTCCGCGGCTGCAAAATGGCCATTATCATATTTGTGACGGGCCGAACGCGGTGTGAGTCGCTTCCGTGGCAGCGACGACTCCCCGAACCGTCGCGTCGGGTAAGCTTCGGATTTCCCGCGCTCCGAGTTCAAGCGTCATTGAGGACATACCGTTTTTAATTCTCCCGAGCCGCATAATCTAGTAGATTATCCTTTTTTTGCTGAAAATCCGGAACGTTCTTCCGTAGGCTTCGGAGAAGTCGGCGTTTCGATTCCGGTCGATCGCCTACAGAAAAGAATCCGCCGAGTGTTTGCGTTTAGGAAATGTGGGTCGAACCGATCTCACGCAAGCAGCGCACGAGAATCGAAGTTTATGTTATTGTCGCCAGTTACTTCAGCTATCCACATTTCGGAACCAAAACACCCGAGGGGAAACTCGTCATTCCATCGGGGACATTCCAGGGAGGACAACGGTCGCTGACAATGGAATATTCCGAATTACAAAACACGGAGGCTGGTCGATCGAGGTAGTGGTCCCTGGAATCGGAGCGAGAAGTTCATTCCACTGAACTCTACGCCCAATCGTCTCGATGAACGTAGAGGTGCTTGCTGAAGGAGCTCCCAAAACGCTACATCTGTCTTCTGGTTCTAAAACAGATCGATTTCCACACGCTCGATTCTCCATCGACCACGATTGGGACAGAGTGATCGAATCCGGTCAGGCTTTCACCGATTCGTGTACTTTAGACCCGTAACAATATCGGGTTTCCGTCTTCGTTCCTGATGTCTCACGCTGTGACCGAACTATTTGATCCGCCGCCTGCCACAGCTCGTCTTCACACTCGGATGAAGCTATTTTCGGTCTAGGAGAATCCTGGCCACGATCTGCCTGACGAGACGTCAAACACAAGGATGAACCAGAAACGCGTAACAGACTTTAGCTACCGAGCCAATGGTCTGGCTACCACTACCGTGCCAATTATCATCATCAATGATCATATTACGGCGTCTAGCGAGTTGGGTTCAGAGAACCGCTGATCCTGAGCACATTTCTGGCCGGAAAGAAATATTTATTACGCTCAGAAGGGAGTCTTCTGACGGCGGTTCAGAAGCTGTGACTGACTGTCAGAGACAGAATTGATTCCTTCGAAATGTGAAACTTCTAGCGAAGCCCGACAGGTCGTCCTCTAGCTTGCGGGGAATTTCTCTGCACCAAAGGTGTGACCGCTGGCGACGTCGCGGAAAAGAGAAAACCACCGGATAGAATTATTCAGACATCGTTGCAAGAACATCAGACCGAATGGAGACTTTAATTGTATGACGTAGAGAACACCCCCTCGGGTCGGAAGTATTCCGAACACGTGGAGTCCTCCCATAGCTCCGACTCTTCGAAAATATTTCAGCTCGCCAATAGATTTGACCCCCGGAGCCGGTCAAAACAGCGTGAACGATATCACTGCAATCTTTCTCCCGTTCCGCTCAGGTTTACAGAGCTGGAACCCGGCGCTTCTCCTCGAGCGCCATCCCGAAGCAGATTGAAGTTTCTGCGTGGCCTCCCTTGACTCCTCCAGCGCACGGTGGAACAGGTTTGCCAACACCAGGGGATAAATTCTGCTCTGCCGGTTCGGCGGTGGGATGGTCGCTCTGCCGAATGCTTGCTTGGTCAGAAGACGACGCTATCAAAAGAAATTTCTGTATTCGGGGGGCAATGCTCCAAGAGAGCTTGGCGTCGCGTCGAAGGAATGCCTCATCGCTGGAGCAGAAGATGGTCAAAAAAGAAAACGCACTGTTCGCCTCACTCCAAGGCCAGGGCCCCTACACGTGCCATATATGTACATGCACATGTCGAGCATCTTTCAGCGCGGGTGGATCCTGAGCGGGCAGGCGACGACAATGCTCCATTTAGGCCCTGAGAACTAATGAAAAAATCCAAATGTATACCGACTCGGCATTCTCTCGAGGATCGCAGCCGAGAGTGTAGCTCTCCGCTAGAGTCCTTCGCGATGTGGAGCACCAAATGTGAACCATTATCACGCTTAGCGGTCGCCGTTCTGCTGGAACTCCGAATCGGACCGTACACGTGGAACCACATGCGGCGAAGCTCCATGATAGCGTTTCGAATTTTCGGCAAGACTCGGAAACCAGAAAAGGAAATGGAACGAATTCTGTCGGGCGACAGCATCATTCTTTTCTCTTGAATTATCCCATCCCATTGGTGCGCTATCTGCAGTTTTTTTCCATTTAAAGCAGATATTGGTTTCTAGCACACGAAGAATGGATTGAATCGTTGCATTGAAAGACACTTTCAAGTGTTCTCGCTTCAAGATAGCGCGCAACCGCAGGTTGAAGTACGGCCAACATCGAGCGGCGCGGCGTTGTCGTTTTGATTAGATTACTCAGTGGACGGTATGGCATCTGTGAAGGATCGCCCTGTTAGCGGGCCGGTCTCGAAACGAGAATAATTTCTCTAGACATGCGAGACGTCCCACTCTGAGGTTCCGGAGTAAGTGCTCGATGCTCTCGAAAGATTTCCGCGCGGTCTGGCCAGGGCCTGATTTCGAAAATTGAAAGCAGGGTCGAGAAACGATAAAGCAGTTGAAATGGACAAGGAATCCCTGATCGACATCCAAAACTTGTCATCGCTTCCGGGAGTGAGTTTTTGGAAATTCTTGGAGTTGACATCTCGCAGATAAGCAAGACAATGGTCCACGGCTTAACGTAGGGCGTTTCGCATCCCGTATCCGTGAGAAAAGCGTCGGCATGCGCGAGCGTCTGCCGAGCACTAGACTCAGATACGACGTCAAGGAAATTGGAAAGTTTGAGGAAGCAGCGGAACAGAAGTTTCACTTTCGAAGACGTCCGTTTTCCTCGACGAGCGTCTGCTTCCGGGAGGCGGTCGGTGGATTTTCGGTCAATACTCGGAGCTCTTCTCGGTGGCGATTTTTTTCGGCTCCGAGAGCCCCGAGAAATGTTCCTAGCGACTCGCATAGAGGATGCTATACGCGCCGTTCTCGGAAGGAATACCGCTGCATAATTCGTACCGTGACGGTATTGACCATCGATCGGTCAAGTCTATTTGCAACAGTTCACGGCGCGGCGTTTCGAGCGTGTGAGTCATTGCCAATAACCAAAGAATGACCGGAGGAAGAAAGTTGGAGGATAGGACGGCGGGAAGGCAAGCCGACTCATAGCCAATCTTTACCCTCCCATGTCACAGCGTTCCGTTATCTGTATAGCCTCGATCGTTTTCTTTCCCATGAGCTGCTCGACTGGCGATCACAATTCACTCCCAGCAAAGCCGCGCCAAAGTCTGGTTGCTCTAGGAGCGTCGGTTGTTGACTTCCGTCATGTCGGAACTTCTTGTTTCGCTCCGAAGTTACTTCAAAACCAGCTATGTCGTCACCGACAACAACTTGTGTAGACTTCACTACAAGGCTTCGGTGGCCATTCTGCTGGCTTTCAGCATCTTGGTGACGGCCAAACAGTACATCGGTGATCCTATCGATTGCGTCGCACCAAAAGACTCGATCGACCTGAAGATGTTGGACACCTACTGCTGGATCCATAAGACGTTCAGTGTAGAGACGGCGTTCAAAGGAGAACTCGGCAACGAGGTGGCCTACCCGGGAGTGGCTCCCAACAAACCTGGCGACAAACTCGTCTACCACTCTTACTATCAATGGGTGTGCTTCGTGCTGTTACTTCAGGCAGGTGCATTCTATGCGCCTCGTTTCATCTGGAAACTAATCGAGGGCAGTCGTGTGCAGCATCTGTCATGTAGCCTGTCGGATCCCGTTTACGATTCAGTCACTTGCAAAAAACAAATCAAGCTCATCACCGCATACATGGATGCGAACGCTGGAAATCACAAGTTCTATTTCGGCGGTATGGTATTCGTGGAAGTGCTGTACTTTGCGAACGTCATCCTCCAGATGTACATCATGGACTTGTTCCTCGGGGGTGAATTCTCCACGTACGGCTGGAAGGTGCTGACATTCACGGAATGGCACTGGGAGGCACGCTACGATCCCATGATCAAAGTTTTCCCAAGAATGGCCAAATGCACCTTCCGTATGTACGGTACATCCGGTGACATTCAGAAACTGGACGCTGTTTGCGTTCTGCCGATCAATATCATCAACGAGAAAATCTACGTCTTCCTCTGGTTCTGGTTCGTCGGGCTCGCGTTCGCCACTGCCGGATGGCTCGTTTACAGAACGGCGACAGTGATGCTGCCCTCGATGCGATTATGGTTGCTGAGGAGGAAGGCCCGCACTGTTCCAGACTCCTTCCTCGAGGTCGTGTCCGCAGATGCGTCTGATTGGTTCATCATCTATCAGGTCTCGAAAAACATCGATGCTTCGCACTTCAGACAATTCATCGAGAGGTATGCCAAGATCCGGGGCGACCCCTTAGCCCAGAAACTCCACGGTGATAGCGACAATGAGGACGATGGAAGTGGCGATACGAAGGAATAGAATTGAACAAAGGGCAGTGATCGACTCCCAGAAGCTTTGTACACTATGATGGTTCCACTGGTTACATTGTATTCACGTGCGACGAATGAATAAATTAGTAAATTATTTATGTTATTATAACAGAGTGACATAACATTTTCGATACGAACCACGACAGATCGAGTCGTGGAAAATGGTTTGGGTTGGGGACTGACCCTCCCTTCCTCGGAAAAATCGAAAGGATAAAACTTCCTTACCACCGAGAGCTCGCTGTAAATGTGCGAGCGGAATCATATCCCTTCTGTCCTCGATCGGCTCTGTCTTGTTCATCCCTCGTCTCTCTTATTGATGGGGGCCTCGCAGTTTCAAGACGAGGGACAAGATATCGGAAGACCGAATCGTATCCAACAGCCGAATAATACCAAGTTCAAGAGAGCCGGCTGCCGTTCTCGAGCCAGTGGCCTCAGACCTCTGGTGGCGTCAATGGATTCAAGGCAGTCTCTTGTATTAGTGCGCGGACCGTCCACAGCACTCCGCTAGCCTTCGGCTCGAACACTAACCCGAGTTCGATATAGCCGCTGGATTCGCCGTGCGGTCAAATGGTGGTCAGGATTCGCGCGAACGTCAGATGATGCGTGTACGACGACACAACTATCCCTTTCATAAGACCTAAACGAAACGCTCGGCCAGATCCCTCATTTCAGCGAGCCTCTGGCGAGACGGTTTCCGCAACGTTCCCGAGGCGGCAACTCCCGACGATGCCGTGACGTCGAAATCGTTTCAGAAAACGGCTGTCGGAAGATATACGAGCTACTCGACACGTCGACGATACCGTCGACGATTTTACGCGGGCTGAGAAGAGCCGAACTTTTCGAAGGAAATATTCGGATGCGTTGAATTGGAGAGTTCCATCAGGCACGTCAGCTGATTTTCCGCAGGGGACCTCTGCTGAGCGAGGAGAAATGTTTGCTCGTGCTGAGCCTTCGGCAGAAATACCTAAGTTTTCCGTTGTCGACTACGAACGGCAGAACGGATCGATGAATGGACGCTTCTCAGGGACTTTTTGTCCGAAGTCGCCTCGGACAACGGCTGGACCAACATTAGACGGCGGGCTAATACTCTACGTGGTAGTCGACCACATCGTCAAGTGCCGGGAAGCCGATGCTGCTATTTGAAATTGCGGGTCCAATCTGGCGTTGGATAGGGTCTGGATGGGATGACCGTTCACCGTTTAGATGAATTCACTAACTACATGGATGGATGCTTGAGAGGAGCCATGACTCGATGCCATGCCTCAACAGCCTGCCCTAATCGAGAGGGGCTCCTTCCTGCGTTTGTTTCGCCGCCATGATGTGATGAAAGTGAAGCTGTGACGTCGTGGTCCTATTCGCTGGCTGGCCGGCCCGATCCGTAGCATGTTTAGTTGTAAAACGCAACTCCTTGAAGCGTGACTTCTGGGGACAGTGGAGTAGGGCAGGGCGACGTCAATGGCCGTGACGGCACCTGTGGGGCCTGGGCTTACAGACGCTGCTCATCGCTCCAGTCTGATACCATTGCTTCGGTCCCAACCGTACACCTAGAGCCGCATTCGAGCGAATGATGGAAACTCATGGGGGACCCCTTCTTGGGGAGTTCGAAGACGGATAGGAAGATCCTGAAAAGGATCTCTGGGATAAAATCCCGTGGGGGCTCCATATATCTCAGGTGAAACATCGGACGAGAATAAGAAGTGTGTGCATCCACCAAAGACTGAAAATGGCTTCTCGGATGCAGAGATCGAATATTCGAGGGCTTGTCGTGTGATTGGTGCACCCGCGGATACTTAGGTTCGGGACGACCTCGGAGGCAGCCTCTCCTCCATCTACGAAATGCTTGAGGCTCCGTCTCGAGCTCGAAAAGGAAGTGTGTACAGGAACCGGCACAGAACGGTTCGAGTCCCTCCCGGAGCCCCTAGGAGTGGGCACCGGGACTCGGTCGGAGCTCAGCTCGGAGCTCCAACAAGACTGGATCCACGAAGAAAGGGGAGGGCTGACGCCAAACTGAAACAAATCGGGGGCATCTTTCAGAACATCGATACTGTCTCTGCACTGCCTCGAGGACAGAGCCTATTCATAAAGACGCGAGCGGGTTCTCAGTGGTCTCCACGGTACCCATCGATACTATCGGTACCATGGGACATGGAATAAGTACCCATTGTCGCGAGTAAATTGAGGACTCACCTCAGCGATCTGAAGTCGATTCGACGATGTATTTATGACCCCGAGAGAGGAGGCGAAGCTCCCAATAGAAAGGAGAAAAAGGAAATATACGGAGCCAGAACTCTAGGCATTTTAGTGCTGAGAGCGTATTAATCTCTTTCCCTTCGAGTGATGATTCCCGATCAGTAAAAAGACCCCGGAGAATCTCCCGTCGATCTTCATCGATCAGAGCGCGGGCCTAGTCCTCTCCGCTAGCTTTGGTCTCAAGCACCGCGCATCTCCTGGTCTATGTATCGAGAGCTGGATTGCGGTCTGAGTGAAAATAGGCCATCCAATCTCTGTCTGAGGAGACTCCTATGCCCAGGGTCCGTGCTTCTGCCGATTCAGTTGGCTTAACTCTTGAAGAGCTGAACATTGAATCTTCGGGAAGGCTTGGATGACGCAGCCGAGCGAATGTCAGGACGAACGCTGAGCTTAGCATCCGCGCCTCACGTTCGGATACTCTGTCCATCTGATTATTCCACAAGTATCCGATTTTATCGACAGCTCGAGGACGATCGGCATGTGCCTTATGCCTCTGCTCGTCTGCCTCTCCGGGTCTGAGGAGCGGCGCTCAGATGAGCCTCAATGCCACCGTCCTTTCTGCGTGGAATCAGATCAATAATAATGTGAAATCGATTGACTGTGGACTGTCAGCCACACGCGACTCCATGAATGAATGCGCGAAGGCGGCTTTCTCTGCGGTGGACAACGTTTCGTCTTCGTCGCGAGCGGATATCCGACCGCAGCGGAACGGCAACCGCAAGAGACTTTGATTCGTGAGAAGTCAAGAGATTCCGGAGAAAAGGACTCGAGATAAGATAATAATTCGCTTAAGCGCGAAGGGCCCATCCGTGCAAGACCTCTGATGAGAGATCTTCGCAGAACCGTGAGGTCAAGACCCATCTCCTGAATGTGAGTTCTGAGCTCCTTTCGTTCGGTGTCTGCTCAGAGATCTCGGGGAATCGAGATCCTATGCAGGATCGAACTCGAACATCAGCATCAGGGTCATCGGGCCAGAGGAAGCTCAATCTGAAGGTCATGGTTCCCTGGCGTAGCTTCCCTCCAGGGACCAAGGTCAGTTCATTGAGCTATTCGTTCTATCGATAGAGAATAGAGGATCGAAACACGGCCGCCGTGTTGAGGTCCGACGTCGACTGCCGAAAGTATCAAAAAAATCTACGACGCTGAGCGCGACAAGAGCGGCGGTGAACGAGTCGGCGACTGCCCTCTCGAGCAGCTACCAGCCAACTGTCTGACTGACTGAGCAAGACTGTTGGAGGGACGGACAGATCGACGGTCTGACGGTCGCCCGCTCGCACGTTTGAACAGCCAGACCGAGCAGGCAGTCGGTCGCTCGGCAAGCAAGTAAGTAAGCAAGCCGGCAGGCGGGCGGTCGGGCGAGCTGACAACATCGAAACTCCCCTCGCCTCCAGAGACGAATCCAGCGAACGTCGACGCCGGCAGTCGCTCCCAGACCGCTAATCAAGCCGCATCGCGGCGGACGTTCGTTCTTTGGTTTGTTCAGTCGCCGTCGCTCGCATCGGAGGGTCGCTCGTTCGCTTGCTTGCCTGCTGCCCGCCCGATCCCTGCCAAAAGCGGCCGCCAACTACAGCAGGCAACAGCGTCGTCGACGACGACCGGTGGCGCCCTCTGGAGGCGCGGTAACGACGCTCGTGTTGTGATTAGTTAGTGCGACCAAATCGAACACAGCGAAGATGGATCAACTCTTCGGGAATCTCAAGGGTTTCTTCAAGACCAACTTCACCTACACCGACAACTCGATTTTCCGGCTGCACTACAAGGCCACTGTTGCCATACTGATCGCGTTCAGTATTCTCGTGACAGGCAGGCAGTACATCGGCGATCCCATCGACTGCATCACGAAAGACTCGGTGCCAACAGATATATTGGACACATTCTGTTGGATCCACACGACTTTCTCCATGCCCGATGCATGGAATAAGAGAGTCGGTGTCGAAGTTCCCTATCCGGGTATCGACAAGTCCTCGAACGGCTCACAGAAACGCGTATATCACGCGTACTACCAGTGGGTCTGCTTCGTGCTGTTTCTACAGGCCGCCCTCTTCTACGTCCCTCGTTACATTTGGAAAATGGTAGAGGGAGGACGCATCAAGAATCTCGTACTGGGTCTGGACAACCCGATCCTCGGGGACGCCGCTAAAGTCAGTGGCCGACGGCTGCTCGTCGAGTACCTCATGGTCAACCGGAACAACCACAACCTCTACTTCTGGGTCTACTCGCTCGCCGAGCTCCTTAACTTCTGCAATGTCATTGGTCAGATGTTCCTCATGGATTATTTCCTTGGCGGCGAGTTCTCGAAGTACGGGGCGGAAGTCCTCAACTTCACGCAGTGGTCTCAAGAGGTCCGCTACGATCCCATGATCCGCGTGTTCCCTCGACTCACCAAGTGTATATTCCACATGTACGGATCGTCCGGCGATATCCAGAGACACGACGCTATGTGCATTCTGCCTATCAACATCATCAACGAGAAGATCTATGTGTTCCTCTGGTTCTGGTTCATCTTCATGGCCATTGTGTCCGGAGGCGTCCTGGTTTACCGGGCTGCGACTCTCTTCCTGCCTAGCTTCCGCGCGCGAGTCACGAAATCCAAAGGACGTCTGGCAAACCGCGAGCGTCTCGAGCGTATCATCGAACATTCGAAGATCGGAGACTGGCTGATCCTTCATATGGTGTGCAAGAACATCGATGCTCTCAATTTCAGAGATCTGATCAACGACTACTACGAGAGTCTCTACGAGACCAAGAGCGAACCCTAGGCGGCGTGCATCGAACTCTCACACTGCCTAACTAAAGAATGTAAATAGCAATCCATGTGGACCGACTCAGCCACACGTGAAGAAATGGGATCGAGCCGAATCTCAAAGTCGAAATAAGTCTCGAGCGAGCAATCGAGTAGTTAAATGAACGAATAGCAGAAGAAAAGCAGCGAACGAGCGTCGCTCGGAAGGCTTTTTGTAGCCTCTCCGACGACGTCACGACGAATCTCGAAGCTTTCACCATGCACGCAAAATCACTCAAGTCTTCCACGGACTCCATTCCAGAGCGCTGCGATTTATGCGTGCTCAAGAGGAACTTTCTTCCCGAATGTGGTATCGGGAGAACCTTTCAGCGTCTTTCATTTTGGACTACAGTCCGGTCCACGGTGTGTAAGTTTCATCCTGAGATCTGAGAACAGCTGATTGTTTCGAGCGCTTGATTGTATGTTATGCCTTTCATATTGATTATCTCATCATGGAATCTCTTGAATCGTCGCGACCGCTGACCTCAGGAAAAAATCTCTCAAACCACGTCTGATTTAACGAATCACGAGAAGTTACCCCGGTCGACGAGTCCGCAGCGTCGCGAAAATATTCCGCAGGAAATCGGACCCTTTTCGTTCGAACGAAAGGAGTCATGACAGCATATCTGAAATAGCATTTGTCACAATAGAAGGTGGCTAGCGACATCGTATCGAAATACGAGGTAAATATATATATGAAGTATTTTGTGATAAATAAATTGAGACCACATTGTCAAACGCGAATCTTGAGCTGGATCCCTGCTCTTGCCCCGGAAGTCCATGCGGCTCAAGGGCTCGAGCTTTTCCACGCAGCACCTTTATTCCGATTCCATTACTCTGATCCGACTTGGTGCCCGATCGATTCCACTGATCATCGCGTCTGCACTCTATTCAGATGTCGCCCTCGCTCTCGTCAAGGGCGGCGGTAATTTTCCCGACCGACTCTCCGCTGACCAGTGATATCCGGAAATAGATAAGAAAACAGCCCTCTTCCATCGGCGTCGGTGCATTCGCATCGGTGGGGGTACCTGTCGAATTGGGCAAACTGCTGTGCTTTTCCTTCCCAATGAGGAGTGAAGGTGGCCGTCACCTGATAGCGAACATGGGCATCAATCGAACGACCGAAGACATGACTTGCTCATCGATTGTACTCCCGAATCGTCCAGAACCAGCAACCAAGTTCACGGATTCAATCATGAGTGTTTCCGGTCGATACCTAAACATTTGTACGAGGCCTTAAGCCGGGGTGACGCCGTAAGCCCGTCGAGATCATCGACGTATGCGATGAGGAGCCAGCGATCGATCATAGCGACACTCTCTATCCTTTCAAAAACGGGACGAGAATCGGGCTCGGTCCTTTGAACCTTGTGATCTGTGTCAGCGAATCCGAATAGATTCCTTAACCGCGTCCTTGTGACGGATCTGTTGGTGTCAGCGACGTTAAGGATGACCGCTCTGCGGACAGAGGAATACAGAGGAGTAGTGTCCACAACGAAAAAAGCAGCCCCTGTTATGGGGCTGATATTTTTGCGGTTTTCTGAATCTTTTCCGGAATCTTAACCACGCGACGGCGACAGCTCGGCGCTGGCATAGTTTTTATTTTGATAGAAGGCAGCAAGAAGTATATCCAAAGCCGCCAGACACACGTCCGAATAACGAAGAAGTCTGTCTTGTAGTGCAGCTTAAAACGGCTGAGGCATCGAACGCTCTACGGAGCTGGCAGCACGCACTGAGTCGTCATCCGACCTCCACCAGTTCACCGGGTGGCCACCAAGGTTCCAGTCTAACTATACACTGGATCACTTCCCTGACCGGAATGATGAATTGAACTCTTCACGGGATTCGAACAGCAAAGGGGAACTCCCGCCGAGCTAGCGACGGATCGCCTTTTCTCTTTTATGGAGCGAAAAAGTTTCCCCGGTTTTCGCCGAATAGCTTCCAATGCAGACATTCGGACGTTAAACGGTGCTCTTCCTTACAGAAAGATAAACGGTAGTCGTGATTTGGATTCAGCTTGTCACCGGTAACCATCAAGCGATTCGTAATTCTGGAAGCGGAGGAAGTACGCGGAACCTGCCGTCACCTGATACGCGAGTGAGAATATTCTCTTCGCGCCAAATGAGCTCGCGACGGACCAAGAAGGGGGAAGGTGGCAGAAATGACGGCTCGTTTTCGTTCGGTTAACGGGACATCCGCCTTCCACGTTGAGATCCCGATCGACTCGCGGACACATGGATCCTTCCCTCGTTCGCTTGCAGTCCTGACGTTGCTCCAAGGCGCCATCTGTGGCCACTTTTCGAATTGGCCGGGACAGATGGAATCGTGTATTCCAAGAAGGAGCCGGTCGCGATCACAGACATGGCGGGATGATGTTCCGTGCGGTCGAAACCGGTTCCCTTCACTTTGGAACTTGATCCAGAAAGATAGTAAGATGGATTCGATTCACAGTGCTGTCGAAGCTGGGACTAGCAATACTTCAGATCCTCCGTCGGCAATCGACAATGAGCTTTCGCTCTGAGAGCCTAGTCTTGGCTCAAATAATAACCAGGGCACACGGAGCACAATGGTACCTACAAGAGAATAGAAATGGTCGGTAGATGCTTCCGTTTCCAGAGCATGAAAGGCGCACAGCTGAAGGAGCGATTCAATGACTGCATTTACAAACAGCAATTATGTTTGAGGGATAGCTCTGGTGGCCCCGCGAATTCGCTATGAGCAGATGTTACGACGGAAAGCTTCCGCTCGCGGAGCTCCTTCCTTCCTCCAAAAAAATATGCATTCATTTCTGCGAGGAGACATCAGCAAGGAAATTAGGGAGAAAGTATGACTGCGATCCGCTCATCGTCATCGACTTCGGGAGCAGAGACCTCCTCATCCCAGAACATTCAATCATTTGTCGGCCGTTCCGGTGTGATAGAATTACCGAGTTCGACCGTGCATCTGATGAACGAAGCAAAATTGTCGTTTCCATCCATCATGAGCGGGTTCTCGTCTTGTGACCGCCATTCCAGCGGCAGCGGTCACGAGATGTCGGTCACTTCACGCCATGTACCACTCTCTGACACAAACAGAGTCTGATTACCACCAGGCCATAAGCTTCTCTTCCTCAATTCTAGCGGTCCCCTCCCATCCTCCTCCTAATTCAAGGCCGTCGCGATGAGCAGAAAGAGTCTGAGTTGAATGAGAACTCGTCGATCCATCGATGGGCTCGTTGACGGGAGTCCCGTCCTCGCTCTGGCGCCGATCCGGTGATCCTAGAGGAGGCAGCGCAACCAATAACTATTAGTTGCTGCTTCCTCCTCCGGTTCCTCTGCGACAGAGTCTGATCAGAATCCCCTCTTCTGGTCGCCTGCGCATGGCATGAGAGGGTAATTTATTTTACAAGTATTTTTACATTATTGGAAGCATTGAGAAGATGTTTCTATCCGATTTTAAAATACTATCTGAAGGGTCATCTCATGAATTCAGCGAGATCAGCGATGCTCGGCGTATAAAAGCTGGGAGCCTCGGACCTCCTCACATGATGACGTTTATGGACTCCGGTTTCAACCAGGAGCGTGGTGAATCCGCTCCGTCTTCCGAACTCGATGTCGGTTTCCAAGTTGTCTCCGATGACCAGAGTATTCTGTCCTGACAGACCCGGATAGACGGTGCGAATCATATCCGCCAGAAGAGTCGACGGTTTTCCGATGAGCTCTGGTGTCCGGCCCGTCGGCGCTTGGACCGCCGCAATTATCGATCCAGTGCACGGAAGCACCAGGTCTGGAAAGAGTAATGCTCCAGCTCTCAGAAGTTGATCGAAATGAAGTCTGATACGCTCATTCGAATGGTTCAAATTTAATTTTCTCATTTTCTTACTTGGGTGGCGTTCCCTGACAGCTTCTCACATTGTTATCGCATACCCTCAAAATATTATACTCACGCGGACATTTAGGGGCGGCAATCCGGGAATCTGCATCCGTAGCGACGAACAGACACTTCGGATCCTCCAAGTAGGATGCCGCTCTGCATACTTTCGCCAGGCTGAAATGGTTATCGAAGCCGACTACCACGGCTTGGACTGTCTCCTCTAAGTGCAGCCCAGACCACGATTGATAATAATCATCAACTGGATCCGGACCGGGCTCATTGCAGCTTAGACCCACAGCTTGGAGTTCATCGTAGAGAGCTTTGTGGCCAATCATGTACAGCTTTCCTGTGACTCCCTTGCCAACCAAATACTTCGCAGTCAAATTGTTCACGCAGAATATCTCTTCGGGGTTCGCTTTGATCTTGAGTGCCGAAAACTTCTCCAGGAGCTCAGCCCGAGAAGTCCCACTGTTATTGGTGACGAATCCGAGCTGTATACCCCTATCGCGGAGCTTTTCGAGAACGATGCTCGCTCCAGGCACTCTTTCTTTCGAATGCCAGATTACTCCATCGCAGTCGGTCAGAACGTACTTGATCTTCGGTGCTAACTCAGTCCATATTGTCTGCGTGAGCCGAGTTGACTTCTCGACTATGGAGCACATTGAGCACCTGAGAAACTCGACTGTTTTCTCCTGTGTTGTCGTGCAGCCGCTGCCGTTACCTCCGACGTCGCGTCGGGAGCGGAGCAGCGTGTGTTCAGCTCGTTCCTCTCTCAATCAGCAATGCGGCCATCCGGTTCTTCTCGTTCGACAGGGTCAAGAATAGGCATCGACAGCACGACCCACGTCGCCGTCGATCACTCGCAATCCCAGAGAGAGATCAGCATCTCACCTGCGGGTCGAGAGTTCGGATGCCGAGGTTCAATGGAGAATTGCGGCACGTCGGGAGGAGCGATCCTCCCGTGCGGCCTCATGACACGGAACGGAAATGGCGTTCCACGATGTGCTAATCTTGACTCCTACAACTCACCACCACCCACCATGAGTCGGGCGCATTTTCCAGACTCAAATACGAGATTGAAGTGCAGACACTGAAAGCAAACGAGATGGATCCCACCTAGGTGGGCGAGGACAATGCTCAATTTGAGCCGGGGATCCACGTGGGGCGAAATTCAAGAAGGACTTCTCGGGGAGCTCCCCACCAGGAATGAGGCTCTCCCCAGGGTAACGATCGAGCATGATTTATCGGGACTGAGCAATGAATGAACGGTTCAGCGGGGCAGAGGGCAACAGGGAGAGTCCAGACTGCACCTAGATATCCATACAAACATATCTCTGATATACATGTATGTATGTATGCATGTACGAATCTTCGGAAGACTTCGTTATACCTATCAGGGGAGAACGCGTAATTCATGATGATTTGATGATCGAGTTCTCGCGGAGAGTAAAAAGCCGAAGAATCAACCGTCGAGAGTGTCGAGAGCATTTTCCTTAAAATGGAAAACGCTCATAGATTGCGTCAGCCACTACGGCTTCGAGCTGTTCGCGGCAAAACCTGCTCCGCAGTGGCGCCCTCTCGGCAGTGGCCCGCTATCATCCGGAGCTTCGTATGGAAACGGCAGAGGGCGCCGTTCGCCATGTATTGCTTTGCTGCGAATGTTTTCGTGTGTCATCTCCTTCTCCGGTCGAGAAGAACGTCAAACACTGCTCGACGAGATCTAGCCCGACCGGATCCTCCTTCAATAATTTGAGAGACATTTGGCTCCCAGAAATCCCAGAGACACGATGTCCTCGTTGTTGACCAAGTCTAAGTGGTTGGAACTCTCCCCAAAGCTAAAATACGTTCTCTCTGATTGTGACGGAGTATTGTGGAACGGCGACTGCGCGATTCCAGGGGCGCGGGAATTCATAGCGACACTCCGGAAAGATGGCAAACGGGTCTGTTTTGTTACAAACAACAGCACCAAGACCCGGGAGCAAATTCTAGAGAAGTGCACAAAAATGAAGTTCGGGACCTCGCTCGAAGATGTGTATGGTACCGCGTATGCAACGGCCGCATACCTCAAGATGCTCGGGGTCGGATCGGTGTACCTCGTCGGCTCCCCCGCCCTCCACTACGAGATGACAGCGTTGGGCATCAGGAGCACGGGGCTCGGGCCCGATGAGTTGGGCGGCAACTGGAACTCGTGGCTGAGCATCAAGTTGGAAGATGGGATCCAGGCGGTCGTTGCGGGTTTCGATGAGCACTTCTCCTTGGCGAAAGTTTGCCGCGCGGCTTCTTATCTCCGCAATCCTGACTGTCATTTCATTGTCACAAACCGTGATCAAAGTCTACCGTCAGAACGTAAAGGTACGGATCGAACATTTTTCCCCTCCCGACTCTTCTTCGGTGCTAATACCACGCATGTCGGGATCGCAATGCATCATTCGTGGAATTTCCCCCACGGAGCCAACGACCATCTCAACCTGTGGTGATGGTCTTTTCCTTACAGATCTCGTGCTGCCTGGAACCGGCTGCATAATATCCAGCCTTGAGACTGCCGCTGGGAGGCCACCGATCGTGGTGGGGAAGCCGTATCCCACAATGATAGAACTTCTTAAGAAACAGTTCCCCGACCTGGATCCCGAGAATACACTCTTCATCGGCGATCGGCTCAACACAGATATCGAGCTGGGACGGAGGCAGGGCTTCAAGACGTTGTTGGTCGAAACGGGAGTACACAATAGAAAAGACATCGACCCTCTCAAAGCTCCGACCTACTACGTGCCTTCGCTGAATGATTTGTACGGTTATATGCAATGAGCTTTTAGGGAAGATCCACATTGTGTTTTCAAATTGACAATAAAGTTCTTGTTAATGTTTAATTTATCAGATGGGCGAAAGTCTCGTCTGCGCTGAGCCTGTGCGATGAATCGCGTTGTCGCAGAAAAGCCTCTCCAGAATACTCTCGTACTGACTGCCGTTGACTTAGGTAAGAATAACCCCTGAGCTGGCCGGGCGAGCCCGCGTACCACATAGGCTGGAGAGCTATCGCCGATACCAATCGGAAGCTTGCCTGCGTAATTGCCAACTGAATGACTGTGAGAATAATTCGCCCCAGCTGTGCGAGGTGGAAGCTTACAAGGTGATCGAGAGGAAGTATTATACATATGATGAGTGGTCCCGGATGGCTCAAGATTTCGGAGACGCGCATGCTCCAACTGATAGTCTCGAGGTTCTCCATCGAGGGCTCATAGATTTTCGTATCTGGGACGGCCTTCGAGAATTCATCGAGCTCGTCCCAGTGCACAATCCGATCGGTTCGACGCATTGAGCCACCTTGCCGTGGATCTAGCGAAAAAAATCGTTCTGATGAATGGACCAGCGCCCGTTCCCCAGGGCTAGATTGATGCCGAAGCTATGACTTCTGGAAGAGGTTATGTTTCGTGTCTCGTCATAGCCGTCGGGCATTTTCGGAACATGAACGAAATCTCTCGCGCTATTCCTACTGCGAAAGAGGTATCCGAGAGGATACCGATGAATATCGGCACTCGAGACCTCGACAAGCATGTCTATCAAAGGCCGGGTTACAGAGCGGTTTGACCCGTTTGGGAAGAAGAAAATACGTTGGAATTTATTCTCGGATAGCAAGTCCTCATACAGGTTCAGAATTCATAATCCCCATAGAATTGATCGTGATTCCCTCTGGGTTCTCAAATAGCTCACGATGAACTCTATCGCTCAAGTTGAAAGCTTACAGGTAGTCTCCAGATTATCGATAACGCACTTGATGGTTCGGTCCTCGGAGACGTTCTTGTCGTCTTTGGGACATTCTGTGAAGGCTTTTTTCAATTCCGGGGACGTGATCGAGGTGGCGGTGGAGGCCATTTTCGCTTGGTCGATCTGAGGGAGAGATAGAATGCCAGAGTGAAACCGTGTTTGGAAAAGTCGAGCGGAGGATAAGCTGAAGACTATTCAGATTTCATAAGCTACGCCCAGAAGGAAAAGTCATAAGTCTGGGGGCTCGGTAGAGTTCGTGCTCCAAGCCCATGATTTGGGGATGCCCGGTCGAGCCCCATTTCTCACATACCTTATGATCCTTAACAACGCCGTAGCTGTCGAGCACGCAGCTCAGTCCTCTGCGGAACTTGCTCATATCGGTTCCACCAGGCTTCTTGAAGCAGTCTTCATGGACCTTCTGCTTGTCGGCCGGTAGTTTCGAAGCAAGGCAACTCCTCCATTTGCCGAACTTGCTATCATCCGAAGTGTGGTCCCCAGAAGCAGTGTCGGCTACGCAAAAGAGATTCGGATCAATGCGCAAAGAAGACAGGTCGGGAGTATGGAAAATTGTGGGATCTCGCCCTATGGATTGCATCAGCGGAAGCCGTGCATGCGAAAGGTATTCTTTCGCCGTTTTCTAAATTTATGCTCGTAAATTCCGACTTCTATCAATGTCTGTTTGAGCGAGTCCGACCGTAGTTCGAGTATAACGACGTTCCCAGTCCGAATGATTGAGGAACGGCCTCGAGTCTGGAAACAGTTCACGCTCACCTGAAACCTCGCACACGAGGATGGTCAGGGCGACCGCGAAGAAAATCTTCATCTCGATCCTGGAAATTCAAGCCGTGAATTGTAGGGAATTTTCACTGACGTGATGCGTCATCGGTCATCACTGATGAGAGTCGACAATCCTGGTCGCATCTTTCCCCAAGTCCCTATGCACGAGGATAGTTCCAGCAAATCGAGACGAGGGAGTCTGTCCGACGTGAGACGGTTCGATAACAGGATGGCGGGGCCGGTCTGCGACCGGTTCCACAGTCGGAAGGGGAGAACTCTCGAGATCCGCATTCGCCAAACCATAGAACCTAAACAAGCCTCTCACCACATCCTCCGAGACGCGGAGAACAAGTCAAACTCCAATTTCAAAATCATTTTGCCGATGACCACCGTTGTTTGAGTGCATGGGCATGGAGTTCCTGAAGAAAGTTCAGGGTTTGCTCGCGTACCGCAGCGATCGGATCCATATCGACGACTTCCACTGCAAACTCCACTACCGACTCACAGCAACCTTCTTATTCATCTGCGGCGTTCTCGTGACCTCACACCAGTACATCGGAAACCCCATCGATTGCTACGCTCGTACTTCCGTGCCATTGTCCACAGTTGATCGCTACTGCTGGGTTCAGAAGACCTTCAGCTCTGTAGGTCATTGGGATGGGGATGTGGGGACCGAAGTCGCCTACCCCGGCGTTGCCAAACCTTCAAACGGTGTGGTTTATCATGCGTATTATCAGTGGGTGTGCTTCGTGCTTTTTCTCCAATCCGTGTCGTTCTACCTGCCGCATCGCTTATGGAAAGTCGCCGAAGGCGGCAGGGTGAAGCGGCTCGCGAGACTCATCGACAATCAGCTCGAGGACCCGAGCAAAGTTGAGGATCGCCTGAGACAGATAAATCGCTACATAAACAACTATCGAGGAGATCACCGAATCTACGGAATCTTGTTCGTCGGCTGCGAGTTCCTAAATCTCGTCAATGTGCTTTCACAATTATATCTCATGGACAAGTTCCTGGGAGGACAATTCTACCAGTACGGTTTCGACGTGATCAAGTTCTCCGAATGGGATCAGGAGATACGGCTCGATCCCATGATCAAGAGGTTCCCGAGAGTCACGCAGTGTCAAATGCGATTCTTCGGCTCCGGTGGCGGACTACAAGACGTCAATGCGATCTGTTTCCTCCACGTCAACATCCTCAACGAGAAAGTCTTTTTGATCATCTGGTTTTGGTTCGCATTCCTACTACTCGCAACTATCCTTAGCGTCATCTTCCGAGCGATGATGGTCTTGGACTTGGCGGGCAGCAGATTAAGGAGTTTGGTAACGAAAGACCTTGGCTCCGATTACGCTTGGAGAGCGCGCTCCATGGTCAGTCGAGCGGACTTCGGAGATTTCGTTCTGTTGCATTTGCTGTCGAAGAACATGGACCGCCTACATTTCTCGAATGTGCTCAAGGCCGCGATAGACGCATATGAGGACGTCAAATTGAGGAGCGTCGAAACAAGAAGCTGCCACAAGAAGCGCATCGTGGACACGACCAGCACAAAAGTTGTCAACGGCAACCACAGGAGCCAACACATCATCAAGCGGAGTAGCGTCACCAATTTGTGACCCCGCTCGTGAGTTCGGGGCGTATTGATGAACTTTCGAAGCCAATCACACAAGGCGAGCTCGATAATCAATTCTTGAATTAGAAGTAATAAATCTGATCCTCGGAAGTACATCGGGGAACGCCACGTTCTCTATAACGATTTTCTGGGTTTCTGAGAATCGGACGACAAGGGAGGGTGAAGCGGAAACGGGGAAGTGAAGAGCCGAATGAGGTCAGGGGGTTCACTTGCGATCGGCATAATAGAGACGGGAGCAAGCGGAAGTTTCTACACTGACCAGTGGAAGAAGATAGACCCCATCCGTATGGCACGTTGTCCGTTGACGTTCTCTTCGCTTACAATTAGTCAAGAAACAGAGTCGCAACTCTGATCGAATCGTGACAGTCGGAGCTAAATACCTCGTGATCGATCCTTGCCTTTGTCAATCGGAAAACTCACAAGCTTAATACGAACACCAGCCAGAGAATTCCTCCGAGGACGATCGGTTCTTGAGCGCTCGCTGCCGAAGAAAATACGCCCCGAATTTTCCGCGAATACCTGATCAGACGCAGAGACGTTCTCCTCGAACACAACTTTCAGAATGACGCGGCGTATATCTGGTACATCCGCTTATCTCTACAAGGCGGACAGACGTTCGAGAAGGAAACGCTGAAGGAAATCGGAGAGGTTTGTTATGCGAGCGGATCGAATGAACCGTAAGAAAACAGCTCGGTGGAAGGACCGCTGTTACCGTGGCTCGGGCATCATGAGACCTATGATGTACCGCGTTTCCAGTCGCCTCTCAGCCTGTCTAGCTAATCCACAGAGTGACTTATCACGACAGCTAGCACGTATATGGGGCCTAACCAGAGTGGTCCATCAAGCGGACAAAACGCGGGAGCTAAGACGGACTTTTACCCTTAAGTTCTGATGAGTACACTGTGTGTCTTTTGACAGCGCACTATGCAGGAGAGATCACTATTTGCATGTGGAGGGACGGCGTGGCGCACCGTGAATGACAGACGCCAAGAACACCGCGATTGATAGTCGGGAGAGAAAAGAAAGCTAATGCGAGACGATCGTTCCGCTAGTCCTCTATATAAAAGATTGCGAGACTCGCAACACCTCGTGGACAATCGCAGCTAGCTTCATCAATGTTCTGTGCGAAGCGACGCTTCCGGCGGATGGAACGCGTGCCGAACGCACGGCCGGATCGAGATACAGAAAAAAAACTCCTCCCCTGTGAGCGAAGCCCTGAATCGCACAACAAACAGTATTGGAATCGGATGACAAAGCAAAGCTCCCGGCGGTTGGCAGTGATGTCATAGTCATGCTTTGTGATGGACACCTTCTCGAACTGATTGTGACTCAGCCTGAAATCACGAGGCATCGCGAGGGCTCCCCGAATGGATGGATCCCTGTCCAAATGAGTAGCTTCTACACCAGAACCGTGCAGGTTTTGCGGCGCGGCGCTGAAGTTCTACTTACACGCTCCCCGCCGGAATAATCGAGAGAAGTACGGCGAGTGCATCCCTCTATCAATCGAGCGAGCAAACAGACAACGTTCCCATTCGATTCAAGTCCTTGATGTCGCTACCGTGATTTTCTGTCACAAAGATCGAGGCAGCAGGTTTAGTGCTCTTCTCCCCAGAAAAACTCGAGCTTGCTTTCCGAATATCTAATCGGACATCCGAGGTCGAAAGAGGCACCCGCGGAGTCTTCCGCGTCGAGAATTCTCGATGTCCGGCGAGTAAGCTCGAACAGGGTTGCTGTCCCACACGGTTATACGCTCCGGTTCGAGCGCCAGGATCGCGTTAAGCTTCGCAATAGCAGATATTTCCGCTGATACTGGCTGGCGATATCGTCGCTTGAGGGAATCTGAAGATACCCATTACCGATCAGCGTGCTCTTCGGCTATCTGGCGGTCCCAAATGCCCACTAGGACCGCCAATCATACCGGCAGTATAGGAACTCACCTTAGTCCTACGTGAACTGGGAAAAGTCTTCCAATCACGGTTTTCGGCGGCCGAAGCAGCTCTTTGGTCCGTTCTCGCGCAACTTCAACGAAGCCTTCCGATTCCGTGAAAGTCTTTCCGTCGTATCGGCGACGATCGCTTCAGAGACAGCTGAACACACTCTGACATGTGAAAGCGCACGAAACAATTCACCGTATGAAAAATCTAAGCAAGAACGTTTCCTCGATCATTGTGTTTTCCCCGGAGGTTCGTCGGTGAACATCTATCGAGGTTGTCAGAGTTCGATTAAGTCGTCCCACAGTGGGGCCAAATCGAATTGTAGGTGGACAAAAGTCCATGGGAATCGATCCCGGAATTTTGATCGGTTATGGATTTGAAAATGGTCCTAGGACCCTGAGAGTCGCGGGGGAACCATGACTACCGCATTTTCCGCATCCCGCAGCCACCCTGGCACCTGCGAGAATAAAGATTTTTTATTTTTACGACGATTTTCATGAATTTCTCCCCCCAATCGGTGATGCTCGGAAATGAACATACTTCGTGCCCTCGCATTGGGGGGAAATTATTTTCTGCGCTCAGTTCCCATCCTGATCTCGCAATCCCACATGATTCCGGTCGAGTCAGCGGATTCTGGACTTGCTGGGAAGACTTTTTCGCCGAGACGAAAAAGTTCGGGAATTCGTTGAATTCTCGATGTCAGAAATGCGGTGTCCCCACGTGTCCCCCGTCTGTTTTTTTTTCTTTTGGGGAGTTTCGGACCTCTACTGGCCGCAGGAAAAAAATTGAGGCGCGAAACCCAGCGGTTCTCGAACACTGTCCAGCCAAAGTTGGGATCCGATCTCGTGTAACTTTCGAATCCAAATCAGCACCAAGAGATGAACGTCCATATGTCGGAGGCGTTTTTGACGTTTTTTTCCGTTCCGAGACGTAGGCGTCGCGTCTTGGCGTGACTTTGACTCGTTCCCAGAGTTAAGTTGAGAGCGACAATATTTTCCAACTACTGGTGCTGATTTGGATTCGAAAAAATAAATGAGAATGGTCCCGATCCACGAGATCAGATCCCAACTTTGGCTGGACAGTATTCGAGAACCGCTGGGTTTCGCGCCTCAATTTTTTTCCTGCGGCCAGTAGAGGTCCGAAACTCCCCAAAAGAAAAAGAATCAGAGGGGGGACACGTGGGGACACCGCATTTCTGACATCGAGAATTCAACGAATTTCCGAACCTTTTCGTCTCGGCGAAAAAGTCTTCCCAGCAAGTCCAGAATCGGCTGACTCGACCGGAATCATGTGGGATTACGAGATCAGTATGGGAACTGAGCGCAGAAAATAATTTCCGACAATGCGAGGGCACGAAGTGTGTTCATTTCCGAGCATTACCGATTGGGGGGGATCATGGTTCCCCCGCGACTTTCAGAGTCTCACGAACATTTTCAAACCCATGACCGATCAAAATTCCGGGATCGATTTCCATGGACTTTTGTCCACCTAAAATTCGATTTGGCCCCACTGTGCGTCCGTTCATCGCCTTTCGAAATCAATACGCGCCATGAGAATGCGCACATGCGCGAGTTCGCGGCTCGATAATCTGCGGATCCATACTAAGTGATCCTTATGGACTCCACACGGGATGCCGAGAGGAGCGTTTCCTAACAATGGGAAGCCTCCAAGACCGCTGATATACACGGAGCGCCAGGCGACAGCCCGTTGGAATTCGAAGAGGAGTTTTATATTTCGGAATAAGGATCGAGCTTAGACTTGGCGAGACCTAACAGCGTTCATTTGGGAAGGAGGAGGTAGGGGACGAGAGACTCACAGTGACCGTCAAAATGGGGGAAACATGTATCATTGTGACTGCCCCTTCAGCGGCATTTCGAGCTAATTTTGTGTTCGTATCTTGTCGTTGAACGAGGAGAGACAAATCTAGACCTTGAATTCCTGACGGAGACGAGGCGCTTTCCCATGACTGATAGGACCCTGGACCCTGGTCGACTATTGAATTGGGGAAAAGCGTACTCTGCCTCTTCTGCGACTGAGCTATGAGAGGAGAAGCGTGATCATTTCGCTCAAGAAAACGTGATACGAGCAAAGCCCTAGCAGAATATCCATTCGAAGCTCCCGAGAGCCGGGTGGGCTAGTCCAATATCAATCTCTCCTTTTGACTCTTTTCTTTCGAATGACGCCCGTTTTCCGAAATTTTTCTGTCTGTCTCCTCGATCTCGCTTGGAATGCGACCGAGAAGTGCTAGGTCCACCATGTTTCTAGCGATTCTCGAGCTAGTTGCAAGTTGAACGCGCGAGTAGAAGAAACAAAATCTCATGACTCGGAAATCGCTCATCGCTCCAATCCCCCGATGTCTTGAACGATGGAGGATGGATGATTCCGAGATTCTTCAATCGCAGAAACAGCAGATTATTCTTGCGAGACAACTTCCAAGATCCTCAATCAACCGGGCAAGCTCTGAAATGTAACATCGCGGAATGGGTAAGCAAATGTTGCACGGCTCAAGCTTGAGAACGAGCGCTCTTTTGTATAGGTGAAGTTTTTGCATCGGCTCCCCCGTGGTCGTCCCGACCGGGGACATCGCGTCCCCACCTATGGCAACCCCACCGACGATCACCGCATAAGTCGAGCCTTTCTCTAGCCGGCTCAGTCTGGGCCTCTGTCTGGCGTGCGAGTGAGCTTCGAGAGCGCGAGTCACCCCCTGAGCTTCTCCCGCAGAGGCTATTGCTGCTTGTGTTCTCTTCTGAATTCACCATCGTTCGCCTAATTCATCTCTGGGACGAACATTGCCGGAGCGACATTCGTTCGCATGTGCGTCAACTATGGGACGAGCAGTACCACACGGCATTGTTTGAATTCCGCTCCGATCAGAGAATGGTAAACTTCTTACTTAGATTGACCCCACATGTTCGAGCCCTGGGGTACACACGACTCCGAACCTGGCGCGACTGCTTCGGATTGAATAAATCTGGAGCGGTTTTCTTCCAGGAATGTATTAACGAGTCTTGTTCGGGAAGTTTGGCTGGGCGAGCACCTACAAACGAAAACGCTTTCGATATGTCAAATTATTCTTCTCAAGCTTTCCGAGGCGAAAGGTCCCCACACGCGATGAGGCGCCGCGAATTCTGGTAAATGCGTCGCCGAAGTCGCGACGATGAGTCTGCAGTCACTCGAGATCTGGTGTCCCGTCGAAGGGAGAGCTGTGTGGGAAGGGACTCTTCCAAACGGATGAATTCCATGAACGCGGAGGAGCAGACCAATAGATCATATTGCAGATTATTCAAGGCTTCGACTCTTCTGAAAATTGTCGGTCGCTTGCTATGACATCCCGACGAATCAAACGGGAATCTATAGAATGTGATGAGGAGCATCGACTTCTGAGGAAAATCATTCGAAGTTGCCCGAAAGGCGCTCGGATGACGCCCTCGGAAATTGCCGGTCCACCTGGGAATCTCTTCATCGCTGCCTTTTGCAACTCCTTGAGGGAAAATCCTATTAATCTCTTGCCGGGGCAATGATACCTTGTGCGAGCGGCTTGGAACCCTCGGGACTCTCATCGCTTCATTCCCGACCCTGCTGGAACATCCCATTGTTGCGCAGACCTCCTTTTTCCAAGAAGAATTGACCTTCCTCCAGGGTTCTGCTTGACACATCCGACTCGGCATGCGCGAGCCCAGAGCCAAAGTTCTGGCATCGGGTGAGCTGTTTTCGCTTGATTTTTTCCCAGCGCACTTCGGGCCAGAAAGTGGGAAACGGCCGATGACAATGTGCGCCGACCCATCAGACTCATCTGGACGAGTTTATTGTGAAATATTGGGGTATTTTCGAAAGCTCAATGGTACGCTCGCGGAGTGGGTCTTCTCCGAAGGCCGATGGTGACGCCGAGCCAGTACCAACTTGAAGAGCGCTCATGCCGCTCTTTCCGAGCAGAAATCCGAGGCAAGAAAGTGAGATTCTTCCCCGTTATCGGAGTCTCGGTCTGCAAGACTCCACTCTACGGAAGAGTCCAGCATTCGAATGTTTTAGAGGGCCCGTCCCAAAGTCGGATTCTGTGGAAGCCATGATTCGCCCCACGGAATATGTAATATTGGGACTCTCGAGCTTCTTCCCAGGAATCGTCTACTCGGAATCCGATATACCTTCCAGACGAATCCAAGGTTCGACAGACTTCGAGAATGCCCTATGAACTGATGCGATCGATCCGCAGACTCTCCGGCTGTTTCTTCTCTCCCATGTGAATCGAGCTAGTGGGATCTATGAGCCGCAGAATTCCAGGGTTTTTTCAAAGAGACCATTGATCTTATCGGTGACACCCGTCGAAAATCGGAATCGACTTGAGGTTATCGAGTTGTCCTGAAGCACACGAATTGGGACACCAGAGTGCTCCTTCTGCCTTGAGTGAGCGAAGACACCCTCCTGCTGAGTCGCGATGTACAATGTGTTGAGCAGTCTCAAAGGTCTCATCAAGCTCAAATCGCTTTCGATCGACAACCATGTGTTCAGACTACACTACAAAGTGACCGTGGCGCTTCTGATCGCTTTCTCGATCCTGGTCACGTCGAAACAATACATCGGGGACCCGATCGACTGCTTCTCCGGAGGACCGGTGCCAGCAAAGGTGCTCGACAATTTCTGCTGGATACACTCGACCTTCAGCGTCCGAGACGCGTGGCATAAGCGAGTGGGCAGCGAGATTCCGTATCCAGGAGTCGACAAATTCAATCCCGGCGAGGAGCGAGTCTACCACGCTTACTACCAATGGGTCTGCTTCGTGCTGTTTTTCCAGGCTGTGCTCTTCTACGTACCGCGTTACATCTGGAAAGCAGCCGAAGGCAGCAGAATCAGCTCGTTAGTCATGGATCTCTCGAATCCTGTGAATGATGAGAAGAAACGCTGCTGTAGTCTCGACGCGCTTTGCAGATATCTCCGGGAGAATCGAGGATTCCATAGGGGCTACTTTACTTATTACTTTCTTTGCGAAGTGCTGAATTTCGTAAATGTCATCGGACAGATGTATCTGGTGGACAATTTCCTAGGAGGAGAATTCTCGACGTACGGCTCTAAAGTATTCCAGTTCACCGAATGGTATCCGTCCGTCCGCTTCGATCCCATGATCCAGGTGTTCCCGCGTCTCACCAAGTGCACATTCCACTTGTTCGGTCTCTCCGGAGACGTTCAAGAGATCGACGCAATGTGCATCCTGCCCATAAACATCATCAACGAGAAAATCTATGTCTTCATGTGGTTCTGGTTCCTGATCCTGGCCATACTTTCCGGCTTGATGCTGATCTATCGAGCTGTGATCGTTCTCTTCCGTCCTGTGAGATTCCGCGTCCTTGCTGCTCATGCCGGTCTCGCTGACGCTAAAGACCTCCATACGGTTTTCGCTCATTGTGATGTTGGGGACTGGTTTCTCTTGACTCTGCTTTCGGAAAATCTTGATTCTGTCGCGTACCGACTCTTCGTGCGGCAACTCCGAGAACAGCTCGAAGACAAAAAAGCGAATGTGTGATCGGTTTGTGCTGACTCCGAAAGGGAATAATAACAAAAATGCAATAATAAATTCTCCTGGAGCCATCTAGTGTAGGGTACGATCTTTTTCAATGAAGCGAACTTTCCCCCGAACACTTCACTCTCATCTGATCGGGCGATCCATGGCTCTGATTAGGATCCCGCAGATCTTTCACCGCTGAGCTTCCGCGATGACTCGGATTCCGAGATGATTCTTCCCTATTCAGGAATACTCTGAAACCAGACATCGCTTACCGGGGGAGCCGGTGGAAGCTTTGTTCTCTGGTGAGAACATGTACGATTGGATCATATTTCGATCGGAAACCAGTTTCGGGAATGATGTTTGAGCAGATTTCGTTTTTGCTTTGTGCAGGACAGTGGCTTTACCGCCATCTGGCTCGTAGGCGCCCTCTGGTTTAGGGCGGGCAAATCTGCTACTGAGCTTTCCTGTCTGTTCGATTCATGGCTGCAGCAACTTCTTGATTTAGTGATGCAAAAGAAGGCCGTTCAGCTGGACTCCGGCCAGTCACCTCGTGGAGTACTACGGTCACCTGTCCACTCGAAATGACCTCAGTCAGTATTTCCTTGTAGCGACGCCTAAGGTTCCTAAGAGAACCAAGCCAAGCCGAATCCCCGGCGTCGCCTCACGAACCCCGGGGCTAGTGCCGACAGCGCATCTCGCTCAGCCATCGTACCCGGTAATCTCTCCGATTCGCCGCTTTCGCAACACAGTCGAAGATTGGTGTCCGGTAGTATCGGAATGATGTTAGTGAGAAGCCACACTCGATAAGACCAAAGTCCAATCGAAAATTCCGAGCGTCTTAAGCACGGAGATCGAGTCTTAAGCAATTTAATCGGGACTCCGAGAAGTGTCCACAAGTCCATGAAAATCAGATGCGGGTCTCGGTGCGCGCGGAAACGCGTCCCACGACAGCATGACTCCTGGAACGAGATCAGATAGGGAAATTCCGAATTTCTCTGTTATCGACACGGTCGTACTCTGTCGGCACTGCGTATCAGTAGAAACCCCCGAGCTCGCCTCCCCACCCGAGGACCGGTGGCGCCCTCTACACGCTACATAAGGCCCCTGAGTTGCTGTCAGACTGCGAACGATTGGTCCACAGAACTCTCCAGCGAAAATCCCTTTCTCATATGTGGCGGCGGCAGAGGCTTTTGACAGTGGTGCCGGGTGCGCGCAGTTTTCACGAGAACACGACGAGACCACGCGTGTGCATGGTTTAGCTCGAGAAAAGCTGAGTCAAACTCTTCAGTGCAGGTGACGAAAGAAGCCGATTAGTGTAGTGCTGTAGCTGCTTCAGCTGAGAAGATCTTCAGCCACAGCTTCCGACGGCATGGATAAAATCTTCAGCGGTCTTAAGGGCTTCATCAAGCTCGACAAGCTCTCGATCGACAATCATGTGTTCAGACTTCACTACAAAGTCACCGTGGCCCTCCTGATGGGCTTCTCGATCCTGGTCACATCGAGGCAGTACATCGGCGATCCGATCGACTGCATTTCAAAAGATTCGGTGCCGTCGAAAATCCTCGACAGCTTCTGCTGGATCCACTCCACCTTCAGTGTGAAGCACGCTTGGCACAAGAAGGTGGGCAGCCAAGTACCATACCCCGGCGTTGACAAATACACTCCCGGAGAGGAACGAGTGTACCATGCGTACTATCAGTGGGTGTGCTTCGTGCTGTTCTTCCAAGCTGCACTGTTCTACGTTCCGCGTTACCTGTGGAAAGCCGCCGAGGGCCGCAAGATCAGCTCGCTGGTCATGGACCTATCGGATCCGATAAACGACGACAAAAAGCGAAACGATGATATCGATATCCTTTGCCGTTATTTCCAAGAGAACCGCGGATATCACCGAGGATACGTTTTCTACTTCTTCTTGTGTGAATTTTTGAATTTCATCAACGTCGTCGGGCAGATCTACCTCGTCGACAACTTCCTCGGCGGTGAATTCTCTACGTACGGCTCGAAAGTATTCCAATTCACCGAATGGGATCCATCGGTTCGTTTCGATCCCATGATCCAGGTGTTCCCTCGCCTGACCAAGTGTACCTTCCACATGTACGGATCGTCTGGAGATGTTCAGAAGTATGATGCCATGTGCATCCTGCCTATTAACATCATCAACGAGAAAATCTACGTTTTCATGTGGTTCTGGTTCCTCATCCTGGCGTTCGTGTCCGGCTTCATGATCATCTACCGTGCCTTGATCGTATTCTATCCACCTGCGAGATACCACGTCCTGGCTGCCCGCGCCCGTCTCGCCGAAACCAAAGATCTCTACACGATTTGTCACGAAAGTGATTTGGGCGATTGGTTCTTGGTGAGCCTACTATCGAAGAACCTCGACTCGGTGGCGTACAGGATGTTCGCCCGTAAGCTCCGTGAGCAACTCGAAGAAAACGCAAAAGGATCCAAACCCTACGCTCAAGCGACCGTTTGACTTTTGGACGCCGCTGAAGACAACACCTCGTCGGTGGAATCGTGCGCGATGACCAAGTACGAATCCTCCATCTTCACTAGCTCTCCTCAAACATCTAACTCTTCTCTGGACAATAAGCCATCCGCGCCATTCGTTTCTTCATCTGTTTAGAAAATAATCGAAACAAGAGAAATAACGCCAAGCTCATAGAGGAGTCCATCACCGCCGCAACCACTACGTATAGTCTCAGTTCTCGGTTGAGAGACGCCTTCGCGAAACGAGAAAAGGTCCAGGCCGGAATTTCAGTCTCTCTGTCTGTTCGTCGTTTCCAAGCAGCAGCGAACGTGGAGCGTCGTCGGAAGATTTGTGTCGCTTCTCGATCGCACCCCACCGAAAACTCGCGATGCTGGAGATTGAAGTCGGCCTTACGTGACAAACTTGACGCGCCCGGCCCAAACCGAGGATAGACTTTGCACCAAAATTCCATTCATCACTCGATCACGAGACGAGTGAACCGACGACGAACGTTCCACGAGATGCCGTTGAAGCAAACCCCCAACCCATCAAACTCACAATTGTGCCCACTTTTACCCAAGCCCCCCTATTCGATTCGATATGAAACCCCTAATACACACACGTTCACGCTTATATACCGCGCATATACATCTCATTACAACTTACAACACATCAGATCAAAGTTGAGTATAGATTCTATTTTTGATACCTCTCGTGAATTGATAATAGAGGAGACAACTGTAATCATAACGAAGACAAGCGTGAGTCTTGGAATGAATGCGACCGCCGTGTTTCTCAGAAATGTTGGAGCATCAATGCGAGGACTGAACCCTCTCATGTGTGTGTGTGTGCGCATGTGAGCCTGGATGTGTGAGAAAGGTCCGACAATATCGGACTTCTGGTGATGGTTCTTCGGAGCTGGTTCGGCGCCCCGGGTTTTCTACAATGCGTTTCCGGCAGTGTCTCTTTTCGCCTCCCATGCGAACGCTCGAACGAAAGAGTGAGCCAGCAGCGAGCGGGCAAGCGAGAAAAAAAAAGTAGAAAGCGAACAGGCGAAGAGGAATAGAGCCGCGGCCGCAACCCACTGACTAGAAATGGGACTGCCGAGATGGCTGCCGCTGCTTAGCTGACCGGCGAATCAGCCAGCCGCTGCCGGCTCTCCTTCCTCTAAAAATAGCTGTTCGATGAAAATCCGAACCGGCTACGACAACTGCTGGATCGTTTCGAGAGAACCCGCGCGAGCCCCCAATCCGAGCTTTTCTTCTGTCGAGCGCTCCTGCGCTCAGCGCATCTTTTATTTTCGCTTTACGTCTTCAGTCGGCCCAACGATCACATTATGTATCACCCTCATTTCGAACGCCCTCTTAAACCGCTGTTGAAGCGCTGCTCAGTTGGTAATGTTTGTCTCTCCTTCACGGTTCGGTGTTCACCTCTAAAACCCAATCGTTGGAAAACCGACGACCAGCCGTCAGATCAGTATACGTGCCGTCCGATTGCGACGGCACCATCTCAATCGACCTACGACTACCTACTTAGTTAAGCAATAACGCACTCGGCAATCGAAAACCTCGAATTTTAGTCCGATGTGTATCTTCCATAGTATTTGAGTATGATTAAGATATTCATTATTTCGAAACGCGACCCTAACAGTCTTGTGTTCGTGCGTGTGTTTTTATGTCGACGATAGAGCGTCGTCGACGCCGATTTCGCTGAACGGAATCTTCTCGTCGTCCTACAACTCGGAGTGTCCCTCGAAAACGGGACAGAAACGGGACGGAATCGTGTGAAAAAGAAGTGTTCTCTGAAGAATGAGTTTCCGATGGAAGGATGTAAAGGAGCTCCTTGACTTGATCATCGAAGGAGCTAGTTTTAACAAAGTTGGATACTTTTATACTGCTCAGACACCGATGATAATCGCAAAGATTGCATCATCTTCGGGGAAATCCGAGCGAATCAAACGACTCAACAGAAAACTTAAACGCTTCGATTATCCATCGATGTATGAAAAACGGAATGTGAACCAATATCAATACTACCAGTAATAAAACAATTTATGACGAGTGTTGTCATTACAATTAATCCTCCCGCGTCTTTATTCTCTGCTGCTCCAAGACCGATTGAAGATCCACGAGGATGAACTACTCGTCGGACGCGTGCAGCACGACACTGTAGCCAGCGATTGGTGGCCGAGCATGTGCCGACCTACTGCGCGTCAGGATTTAAAGCGTGGAGCTCGGCTCGGAGAGTCCCCTTTCAAAAGGAACTTCGTGATTCAATAAATGTCCGACGACGGCTTTACCATTCGTTCTATCCTCGACGCTCGTTGAGCCGCCGTTGTCGGTTAGACGCGATGTGGAATGTCAGGCGTCTACTGGAGGAGCCCCCGTATCAGACGAGCCGAAACGGTGCGCACCGCACGTCGTCGGTCTGTGTTATCTTGTCGAGAAGCTTGCTTCGGAACTCCTCGCGTTCGAGATCGTGTCTCACCAAAGATACGGCGATTCTCGCTTCCCAAACACCGTAATCGTCTCTGGAGGTTTCGAAATATATAGGACGCATAAAACGAAATATCGTCCACTCCAATATCGACCGAAATGCATTTTCAGAAACAGTGTTGAACCTTTTTTCGGAATCTCGAGTACCCGGGAATCCGGCTGAGCTCGGAGTTACGTCATCCACAATTATTCGCCGAGCCTCCCGAACGGTCTCTCCTAACCTCAGCTGTGAGCTCGCCGTCCCAGGAGCAGCCACCCCGATCGGTGGCTCCTCTTTCAGCGAAGGCCCCCGTTCGGCCTGCGCCGGCTCTCTCAGAGCACACTGAGTCGTGAACTACATTGGCTGGCCTCGTGATCGCGAACTGAATATAGCTACGTATTCTGCAATTTTTGCATGGAACTTTATTGCACACTTGCTGGAATCGCGAGTGGGGTCACCGGGGGATTTTCCGGCAGTCGAGAGGCGAGGAAATTCCCGAAAATCGGACTGCGGAGGGCAATGCCCTGGCGGAGAATTTCACCGGGGCCCTGCTCCCCCGCGCTGTCTGGGCATGCGCGTCAGCTGAGTTGGGTCTGGGCTTCTCTTCCGGCTTCCCCGGCGCGTAGAGAGTGCGGAAACAGTGCAACGTCATATGCCGATGCGAGCGAACACGTTGACTGGCGGCGGTGGAATCGATGGTTCGCCTCTCCTCGATTGGGAATTTCGATCCGCGTGAACCTCATCTGCACGCTCAGACATTTTGCCGAATAGACTTACGAATCATGAGAATCCCTCTCCGCGGGGGAAATCCTCACAAAAGTAATCGCGTCCTCAGATTCCTGGTCGTGACCGATATATCTTCAAGCGACTGAGTCGATAGAACAAGGTTCCGTGAAATTCCGCAGAGTTACTGCGAACAACGATCGCCGAGTTTCCGAGCAGTCGTAGCTGGACTCTCTTCCAAGATCCGAATCTTGCCTGGAATTGTATCTTCCGCCCTGAAATCACGTCTGGGAGATAATAGAGGAGTTTCCGCAGTCCCTCCGCGTAGGAGCCGCGCGTCTCCGCCGTCACTAAGACAGCCGACCTCGCACGGCGAGCCCGTTGCTCTGAGCCACCCTCAACGAACCCACTGACCCACTGTGATACTGCACTCCTGAAAGGCTTTCTCCTCAATGAACGTATAGTACGGAGGGCCTCGTGTCATCGTCACTTGCGCATGCGCTATTCGAAGAGAACAGCTGATCGAAGACGCAACAGCCGAGCTGTATACGTCTGATGGGCTCTATCCGCGCAGTAAATCATTGCAAAATTCTCGCGATTCCGAAATCGGATTCTCTCACGGTCCGTCAAGACACGCAACTCGCGTCAGGTTACTTGTTAGCGCACATTATAAATAATGTATTTTTAAGGCGTGCTACGGTAGACGCTACAGCCGCTTCTCCATCCGCTGATTCATTGCACTACTGCATGCGGATAATGATCATGGCTCAGCGGCATTCCCCGGGTCTTCGCTAGAATGAGCTCAGGGTCTCCCCGATGCGGTCCTCCAAGTTATCGAGCGGATACACCTGTGTCTGGTGTTCCTGGTGGCCGCCCTCATCGGAGAGAAGCCTTGTGACCACATCTAGCTGCGCTGGGAAGAACTTCAATAGTCAGATCTGCTGGCGCCGCCGGAACTACAAGCGATGGCACTTTGCACCCGTTTGTCGCGCAACGAAAACGCGGCGGAAGTGGCGAAGATCTTGCCCCTAAAGTCCAAAAACAGGCTGGAGCGAATTCAGCGCTGTCAATCGAAGTTCCCTCGCCAGCGTGCGAAGAAGAATGAAGGAGCGTTCTACTTGATTCTCAAAGCTGTGTCTACTATGCTTAAGATTTATGTCGGGAGAAGCGACATTCTTCGGCTCCAAAGGAGAGATTAGCGAAGATCTTTGCGACTATGTTGGTGCTATAGCATTGTTACACGTCGCGGCGAGACCCGGTCAGCGTGGCTTTTGTCTGTCTGAGTACAAGGCTGCTTCCCCAAATTCCGTCTTTCATGCGCCCGGGTCACGAGCAGCCGCTTTCCTCCTGAAGCCTCATTTACTCCAGTTTAATTCCATCGCGAGATGCCATCCATGCCGGATGCCATCCACACTCCCTGGATGTAAACTTTCACGCTCCCGAATTATTCGGGAAAAGTCGGGCACTCAAGAAGTTAGGAGACACCTCCACCAAGTTTTGAAATGGCAGAATCAGAATCTTACGTACCTAGGTCTGATGTGCGCTCTTCGGAAACGTGGCCGGCAGCTGCTCCGCCGCTCGTTCTTCAACCCAGACGTTCATTATCATGACGCGCGTAACCAGCAGACGAGGGGCCCCTCATTGAAATAAAACAGAAGGCATAGGTGACCCCCAACCCCTCTCTTGGCATGCTCTCTCGAAACGGACGTGAGATATCGAAGCGATCGTAAAACTCAGCTCGGATCAAGCATCCGAGTGTGTTTTGGAGCGTTGGCGTCGGAAAGATGAGACGATCTAGCTGTCGGTGACACGAAGAGCCGTAACCACAAGTCGGTTTTTCTAATGATCGAAAGCGTCTGGGTTCCGCATCTCACTTTCGACGCATTGTGTATCGCAGGCGCCGAAAATATTTGAAATGTCGAGAGATATTATGCCCAGTTTAACTTCCACGTTCATATGCATTCAATTTTTTTTCTAAACGTCCGCCGCAAAGTAGAAAGCAAACTTTTTTCGCATGGGAACTTCCGCAGCGGAATTCGGAACGATTCCTTCATTTCAGACGAATCATGGGCCGGCTGCTCATCCATCGATGATCTCCGAACTCAACTTGATTATGATTGAGGAATTTCCGTTTGAACCTCCTCATTTCTATTCATGCTCGATTCATTTCAATCGAAAGAGTCATTCCGATTCATGTGCTGGCTGTGGAGAGGACCGATGAACTTCAAGCTGAGCGGGCTTGATTCCTTTTCGGAAAACCGTAAGGAGACGATCCAGTTCAGGATATGACGCATGTGAGCGACTCAGCCGTGGGAGCGGGCTCGAGATCTCATCGTCTGGGACGACCAACATCAAAGAATTGAATACTAGACGTCTCGTTGCACGATCTCAAAATACTTTCAGTGATTATTACCAATTCAGTCACGCCATTGGTGACAGCACGTTTAAGTCGCGCGTGACTTCCATTTATCCGGAGGGATCAGAACGCGTTCGCGCTCAGTCATCGCCAACGCCCAGTACGGAGAACATGAACGCCAATCAGTGTTCAATTCTGACGACTCTGTCAATTTTCCTCATTTGGACGACGGTCGCGTCCGGGCAAGACCAGTGCGTCGACCGGAAACGCCGAGGGGACTCGGACCTTCAAGTCTGTGGTCCAAACCGAAAATGTATCCAAAACAATTGTCTCACAGTCGTTCCAGCTGAAGACGATCGATGTCGTTCCGTGCTCTTCGGTAACGTGAACCTCGTGAGGCCAGAACTGTTCCCGGTGACGGCTTTCGAGGTCTATCAGCGGCAGTGTTACATTCTGTGCGTGGATACCCTGAACCGTAAAAACACCGCCGTCCTGGAATGCCGAACTCTCTATCAATAAATCGACTGAATGTGGATACAGACAAGTCTGTTTCACAAATTCACAAGAACCATTGTGATTCCACGACTTTTCCTTCGGATCTTCCAAACGTCCACGGTGGGCACTTCCACCCGATCCCGGACGGATCTTCCCATACCTTCCACCGCTCGTTTTTCTTCCCTAGGAGTCTGAATGATCCGTGGTCCATGATCATTGGTCCGATCGCGAGCCGGTATCTATTCCATTATGGCTCGATCCGAGCTGAGCTCACTGGAATCTGCTCTGCGGCCCCTATTCGCGATATATAGGATGTCGGCTACCGATGCGAAATTTGTACGTTCGGATCGGAGCTTGTCTTGACCGATGAGAATCAAAGTGACGTGGACTGAAACGTTGTCCCTCGTGATCACGTCGTCTCTCGGGGGGTTTCGTCGGCTCAGTACGCTGAGCAGAGCGTCTAGCGATTTCTGTATCCTTTTCCTTAAAAGCATGAGCCTGTTCTTCGTCCGCAGCGCGATTCGGGTCGCTATCCCCGTCTGAGTAAATCGATTCACCAGAGAGCGCTCTCAACTGGATCAAACAGAAGCACGTGGTTTGGATTTCTGCTTTCTGAGACCAGTATCCAATTTCCTAGCGACTCTCCAGCATTCCAACCCTCACGGGAATCGAACCGAGGCAGTGGCTTACGGCGAACGAGAGTTGATAATTCGACAATCTGAAACTCACGAAAAACTCTTGACGGAGGCCGAAACGAATTATTCTTAATTGGGGTGGAGGTCCCTGCCTAGACTATCAAGGCGAGTCGGGATGGTGTAGGACGTCGGCTCGTGCAGAAATGTCCCATCCAAGGTGACGAAGTGTGCCCAATCCACATCGGCTCGCTTCAGTTTTCGATACAGCGAAAGGGTTCGTTGGCGCCGGGCACCGGCGGAGAAATCTTCCCTCACAAGTCAAGGCCTAATCTCCAGGGGCCTCTGGTGGCAAAACTCGCTCGCGTTGATACCCTTCCAGAAACCTGTC